GCGTCACGTTGTCCCCTCTTATATATATCCGCCTACCCTATCTAGTAAATACTAGAGCATTCATGAAAAAAACAGATAGTTCTAGAAAATAGAGGGCGCCACACCAGTCATGTGACCTCGATGACGCAACATAATATTAACTCTGCCTAATATTATGTATATTTAAATTTTCTTAAACACTGAGCTTAACTTTAAAATGTCAAACAAGTAAGCATTCTGAAATACTTAACCTATATCTCTTCCTTCTGTCTGTGTACCTGCTTCTAAAAAGAGGCAACATTATTTTATAATTTAAAAAATAAATTCATAGCAGATCTGACTTGGTAAAGATGATTTGAGATCCCAGTTTTTTGATAAGTTGACTTTTGTAAAACCTATGTTTCTCATTAGCTATAGGATTTTGAAAGTATTTCAGAGGATGATTATGCTACTCTCTTTACATATTATACTTAAAAAATCACAAATACAGTAATTTCTTTTACATAAGCTGATTAAAAATGCATATTGTTACTTTAACCCATTCACTGCAGCTGGGACGTATATTTCCCAGTGCTCCCACCCCCTCACACTGTGACTGCAACAAATGTTTTCCATTCTCAGTACTGTTTGTGCTTTCCTCTACTGGGTCCAGGTTATTACCTTGACCTATCATCGCTAGATGAAGAGTTAGCATCCTCTTGTCTCATTGCTTCTTCATCATCATGCATTTAAACACCACTTGACTCACTTTCACTATCTTTTAAGCTGTCTGAGTCAAGCGCATCAAGTATATTTACATTGTAATTAGGGTTACTACTTGCTGCTCTAATGATGCGAACACGGTTGGCTCACAGTTGTCATACATTGTGCTTAGGCATCTTGTTGGTTACTGAAAGGCTGAATGAAGAGCACTGAGAGAACCATATATCAACATTAGGTGGGATGCTAAAAGTACTTTTCAACTCATTTTACTCCCATACATCACGCACAGCAATTTTGAATGACAATGGAAAACATTTGTCCTAGTCATAGTGTGAGGGGGGTGAGAGCACTGGGAATATATGTCCCAACTGCAGTGAAAGGGTTAAAGTGGAATACATCTAAATAGTCAAAATAAGATGTTTATACACAATTTGAACAGTAGTAGTACTTTTTATTATACTGTAGATAAACAAGCTTTCTATTTAAAAACAGCTGCATAAGCTCATTCACAGAGCCCAGCTGCACATACAAAAAAACAGTAGAATTGTATTTTTAGGAATAGCTGTAGATTGCAAAAATTCTAAGGTTCACAGATACATTACTGCTATTGTAAACTTTTAACATTGCTTATTTTACTTGTCCTTGATGTTTATAAATTTATTTTGATTCTAACACATGTTGGTTTCAGACTTTTATATGTGAACTTGCAAGTGTCAAGAGTGGAATCAAATCAATACTCCATGTGCTTATGGGCCTAATAGTCCATTAGACATTTTCAGTGATCAAAGTCAAAGTAGCTGATAATCATAGTCTGTATATAAAAGAGTCTGCATATCAAAAGACTTGGTGCTACAGCCCAATTAAGTAACTGTTTAAAACACATAGCTCAACCAAGTAAGTTGTATTAAAAAAAGTCAAAACACACAGTTTAGCTAAGTCAACAGTTTAAACCAAAGTCCCATATAAACTTTCAAGAATGATGGAAAAGCTAAGCTCTGTGTATTAAAGATTTCCTTATTGTAAATCATCTTCAAACAAAATTTATTTAAATAAATTCATTCACAGCACAGTTGACTTACCTCTTTATTTATCTATTTATGTGTCTGTAAAGAAATATTTCTAAAATGTTTTGCTATTTTTTCAGATATCTATTGTAAAACCTCCTACACATTAAGCTTAGTCTTTTTTTTAGGTGTATGTAGTGTCTGTTTCTGTTCACATACCTCGAAAATATAAAATAAGAAAATAAAGATGGTTATTTTTTCTCTCTGTTATAGACATGTAACTCAAGTTCTGGATTCAGTTGTCCAGCTCATCCAACAAGAAGACTCTGTATTGGAGTCTCTATCTCTAGCAGATTCAAAACTGCAAGGAGAAACTTGTTTAGTCATAAATGCTCTAGGAAGCAATCAGTGTTTAACATCAATAGATATCAGGTTAGTTTTTATTGTTGTTTTTTTTATGAGAAACTGATATTTAATAGGGATTGGATTAGAGCATACTGTAACCATTTTTAATATAAGGATCATTTTAATGTTTATCATTATTAATAATTATAATTAATATTACTAGATATTGAATTGTTTTACATTAACTAACTTACAACTTCAATAGTGATTAGGTTAGTATTTCTAATAACCAGTATTTAAGATAATTGAGTATCAGGTATAATCCGGTAGATTATATCAGTGTTTAATATCAGATGGGTCAGGCTAGTTTTATGTTAACCAATGTTTGATAACATAAAGATTTGGGTGAACATTTATAATATCCATTATTTAATATAACTGTGGGTTTGATATTTGACATTAACAAAGGTATGGTTAGTGTTTGAACGAATCAGTTATTAATATCAGTAGGGATGAGCTAAGTAACCAGTGTTTAAAATCAAAAAGATTTGGTTAGTTCTATAGTAACCAATGTTTAATATCAGTATGGATGTGGTTATTATTTATAGTAACCAACATATTATATCAATAACAGCTAGTTAATACTAATGTTTCAATCAAGGCTAAACAAATAAGTTTCATGTATCATTAGTGATTGGTTTAGTTTATATTAAATATCATTTAAAGTAGCAATATAGACCTATTTAGTGCTTATAGTAACCGTTGTGTTCAAGATTGGGAAGTATTAAATTAATGTTTGTAATCACTGTTTAATATCAGTAGTGATCAGTTCTGCCTCAAACTGTAACAGGTATTGTTGGGAACAGGATTCTTGCACAAACTGTACTTATTACAAAAAATATTTGTTTACTAGGTATTTGCAGTTAGATACAATTTTCGTATGTATTACTGACTTGAAAAGGTTGAGACAGTCAGAATTCACAGAACAAAATAAACATTTATATAAATCATAGAAATATCAATTACAAAACTTACTTCTCAGTACCTCTTAAAGCTACTCTAAGTCAGTTTATTACTTCTACTAAAAAAATCTCTTTTTCCAATTAGCTCTATTGTGCTTTCAAGCATTTCTTTAATCATCTTATTACTTTGAATCATTATTTTAGAATCTTATATTTTGTTAATTACATTTTAAAAACTTAAACCACTCATAGATTATTTGCAGAAAAATATACATTGTTTTATTTTGGCAACTAAGGGTACAGCAATTTTTAAATCATGCTGGTGCAAAACCTCTAGCAGGGAGAGGACAGCGGTTTCTGTACTCTTATTTCTAGGCTGCAGTCTCACTGGATCATTACAAACTGTTTAAAATAGTTGTACTGTTTAGGCCAGTTCTGTTGTGGGTATATAACGTATAATGTAGAGAGCTTATGGTTGTTAGTTTGCTGCACTCCTGTTAATAGAATCAGATAACATCCGTGGTTTTCAAATTTTTGAACTGATGTCCACTGGATTATTCACTTTTCAGGACTTGATACTCAACTTATCTCTGTCTCCATTTATCTTAGAGCTCTGTTAACACTTATCTCATTAAATTTTTCTTCCTGGTGTGATATCAGTTTAAGGTAATAATCACTTTTTAAGTTATTAATGTGCTTCATTGATTGTGACAAACGATCCTTCATGACTGTTTTAATTGTACTCCTGTCCTTTTACTTGGCTTTCGTTTCCTTTGGTTCAAAATGTAATTAACTTAATGTGGGGCATTTCAGTAGTAACTATTGCTTAATTTCAGTCAGTATCTAGCTAAGTACTCAGTGTTTAATACTGACATGGATGAAAGTGGTTAGTTATGCCATTGTTTATTTTAACCAATGATTAAAATCAAGGTGGTGTGCCTGGGCATGGCATAGCAGTTAGCATTCTGGGCTGCAGGTTCCAGTTACAAAGTTCAAACTTGCAATATAACACTCTGTACATTCAGCTGTGGGTGTGTTATAAAAGTGAGAGTCAATCCCTCTATTTAGTTAACCTTATCTCCACGGGTCTTCCTATGGTCATGGGTCATGTAGACTTGCATTCAAAATTTTATTGAACTACTATGTTATGAATGTATAT